CCCCCCCCCCCCCCCCCCCTTCATGAATAAAATTCTTGTTCCACTGAAGTCAGCAGCAAACTCCTTTTGACTTTGATAAGGCCAAGATTTCATTCGACGTGTTTTGTTTTCTTCTAATTTGTATGTGTGTGCAGGTTTATTCTACGTTCAAAGCAATTTCCACTGGTAACTTGGAAATGTACCAGTTTCCCGGCAGCCTGAAAGCCATGCTGTCTCAAGGACTATTCACAGAGAGACAAGGAATGTCTCCCACATGCTATATAATGGTTAATTGATTTTAGACGTTTCTTGACACCTTCCACTTTGAGGCTATTCTCTGCCCTTCAGCACATACCTAATGCACACAAAGGCATGCTCTGTGATTGTTGTAAAGTTGTAAGATTACCAACTCTAAGGGGCATTGTCTAAACGTAAGAAAAGATTCGTAAAACTGCAGGGTAATTATTGAACAGAACACCACTCTGTCTTGTTTGATTTTTTGATTTGGTTTTTATTGTGAGCAGTGTTCTCAGCTCGCTTTCAGGATATACAAGATGTCTTTATAATCCAGAAAATGTCCCTTATGCCAGTTTCCATCCTCTGCAACTAGCAAGTTTAAAATATTTGCCTTAACAGAACTGGATAGGGCAACCTCTTCACATCCATTAGAACCAACTGTACACAACAACTTCATTAGCAAAAGTAAACTGCAATCCCGTCTGGCAAAAGGTGCAACATAGTGTTGCAGGGTTGACAAGCTATGCATGCTCATAAGCCAGCCCAACATCAATATGACATTAAAAATAAACACTTGCCACCCTGTTGCTCGTGATCTCATCCGCAAACACAGGTTCATCTGTCGTCTGCATGCCAATGACTCCCTGAGGTACCACTTCAGACTAGTTTCACTCTGTCCAAACAATGAACCCAGCCAGACTCAAACATCAGCTTTAGTAAAATGGGGCCACAGACTTAGCTCACACAAACCTCGCAAGCCCCTCCGATCCCTCTTCCCGCAGCTCCCAGGCAGCTGCCTGTCCTCGCCTTGCTGGATCTGATGAGACCACCACCCCCAGGTACACTTCAACCCTGATGGTCTCGTATGACCTCCCCCTTAACAAAGGGAAAGGGGAAATCCACTGGAGTAATTTTTTATTACCACAGCAGGTCCAATTTAGGCTCAGATCCTACATTTATGTTCCTTTAGGAGCTGTTATAGAGGCTCCTGGTTGTTTTAGAGCAAAAAAACCTAAAACCAGTTATGAACACACACTGTAAAACAACACAACAGATTCTCTGCATATCTAGATTTCCCCTCAAGTTCATCATTCCCTGGATCTGAGAAGGCTCTCATTCCAATGTCCTTCATAGTGTCTCTCTCTCTCTTCATCGGCTTTTCTCCTAAAATAGCTTCTGACAAGTAACTCCCAATCTCTCCTAAATGTTGTTTCCTGTAAATCTTTTTCCAGTGCCGCTGTCTTTTGTGGTGTAATAATTCAACTCAGGAATAAGATTCCTGAATGCCAGCATCTGTCATACCTTATATTTCCCCATAAAAATCACAAAATAGTCTGACCGTAAAGTTTTTTTGGAGTTATAGCCAACTTTCATTGATATGCTCCATGGGTTAGGGATGGCTTTTGTTCTTTTCATGTTCATCTAGTACAGCTGAACCTAGATCTTTCATTGTCATATTTCATGCTATAACAATTCAAATAATTTCAAATATTTATATACTTGTAAGGGTAAGAATCGTTACTACAGATATCTCGCAATTAGGAAAACCAGTGACACCCAGAACATCCTGGAAAGTGCTGATCTTTAAATGGCAATTACCATACAGAAGTATGCAAGCAACCAAGCAATTCATAAATGCTTTTATATCTAAGGACACAAACACTTGAGCAGCCATGCCTGTGATGCTTAGGTAAACTGGACAAACCCATAGGAACTGCCAAGCAGTTGCATTTAATTGAGGAATTTGAGTTTTAATGCATACAGCCTCAAAAAAAACCCAAACAAACAACCTCTCCAACCTGATGTTGTCCCTTGTCCCGCTTTAAAATGCTCCTCATAAAGATAAGAGACTACTATGCCTCGACAAAGGCAGAGTGATGCAAATAGATCCTGTCAAAGTTGTCCTTATATGGATCCACTGGTGCAATTCAAGTCTGATCTAGTATGCAAAAATCCCTAGCTCCCCCTGAGCAGAACCTTTGTACGGCATTGATTAACCTTCATGGAGGATGAAATTGGAAAGCTCATGCTCACGTTGGTCATAATCTGGACTTGAACACAAAACTCCAACAACTAAACATCTGTACGACTTGACTCAATGTGTTAGATTTACCATTCCAAGTAAAGCATGAGTTAAATTAAGAACTAGCACAGATTATGAAAAATACATACTTAAAGAATAAAAAGAGTAGCAAAATCTCGTTAGAAAATCATTATGAACTATGAGTTTGAGCTAAATATTAAAGCATTTAGCATTAGTTCCTTTGTAGCCCCTATAGACTTGGTTCCTACGGACACGTAAAACTTGGACATAGAACCCTTGAGGTTTTCCTTTAGTACCAAACATGAATAGTCTTTCATATACTGAAAAAAAAGACAAAAACAGGTCTGAAGATTTTTATTAGGGGAGAAAAGCATCATTATATTTATGCTTTATGTAAAAAGCAACTAAGAATGTAAATGACTGAACAGGGATATAAGTCTATAAAACACCAATTTCTGAAGAAAATTATGCTTTATGTAATGGTTTAATTTCCATAAAATTGTAAAAACTGTCATAAAAACAAATGGACTTTTGAAATCGATGCTTGCTTATTGTCATGTGACAGATGGCTCTGGCAGAGAGCAAACAGCTACCTAGTTGGTCCTCACTGACCTCGGAGAGAATAATTTTGGTCTATTCACTTTTTTTTTTTTTTTTAAAATGAGCCCAGTTGCATTTAAGTATCTTTACGGCACCTAGTAAGTCATCCATGTGCAATTACAGAGAGGAGGTCAAAAGGAAGTAATAGTGATGAGCCCAACAGATGACACAGCTAGGCAATCTCAACAGTATTGCACTATGTAAAATTACAGTGCACTGAAACACCAAATGAGTCCGGCAATCCTTTTGTGCCCACAGAAACAATGAATTAGGACTCCATAACGAAAACAACAGTGATAGTCACTGGGAATTACACTGGCCTTGAATTATGAATTGAATAAACAGGTTGCAGGTTTCAGAACTGCCAGTTTCACTGTACAACCCAAAGCAAAACATCTGTCTGTGTGAAAACAGGGTGTATTTCTCATTGCTGACCACGGCAGTATTGTTTTTCAGACAGCTCCTGTTTCTATTCATAGTCATACTGGGCTCCCAGTACCCAAATAGCAGCACAGTGCTAATCGTTGTGGGGGCATCTTGGAAAATGAATACATTCCAAAAAAAGGGGGTAAGTAACTTCCCCCAGGAACATGGGTCCGCAGTATGCCAGCCACTGGAATAAAGACTTTTGTTCTTGCTGCTCTCTGAAATCAAGGGCAGGTCCCATATTTGATTCCCTGCCTCCTCCCTCACGTCAGTGTCATTGAAGAACAGCCATTACAGATTGACTGAATACTTTAATGTCGGTTGTGAAAACAACCATCAACCAAAACGGCAGCCCAAATCTGCACTTAATGCAGACACATAAATACTTTCAGACTTACACTACTTATTCCAAATAAACAGAATAAGATTTAATGTAGAATGAATAGTTCAATAGGCTGAGTTGTGAGTAAGTGTTCACAGTTACTTCAGAGATCATCCCCACTCACCGCATCTCACACAAGTCCTCAGTACAGTCATATTTCGTTTTTTGTCAACACTTGCCATTTCATTAAGTCGTGTTCAGACTCCAAATGCTTCACCCTTTATGAGCCCTGCTGTTTTAGTGACATCAAGAAACTGGTGATTTGACAATTTCATATTGATTTTCCTCTCCCTACCTCAACTCACCTATACCCGCACTTGGCCGACTACCACAGTTTCACCGGTGACCGGCAGGAACAGATTCCTGAGTAGCTTTCCTATGCTTTTATCAATTCATTGAGTTCCAGTTCCTGGCAGCCTGTGTATAAGAGAAACCCTTGCAGCTGTCCCCAATATAATGCCATCTTACTACTCTTTATAGTAATATTTCAAGATACAGATGAATATAAACACTGTGGAATTTCTTTACCGCAACTGCAAAAACAAAAGGGCTCTAAGACAAGGTTAAATGATTTACAGCGCAAACGTGCAAAGAGAAGATAAATCACTTTTTTCTCTCAATACAGTGCCGTACAGTCATCTTCACCTTTTCTTATCAGCTGCCATTTCCGACACATGCAAGAAGTGCTCTTATTATGCTAGGGAGCAAAAAGGATCAAGCTCTTCAACCTGGCAGTCTTCTATCAACAACAAAAGAAAAAGATACAAAGACTGCGAGTCCAACATGATGTCACTAACTAATGACACGAATGGCAACGTACTGCTTTACTGTTAATAAAAGAAGTCAGGGAAGACCAAGGCTCATTTTATTTAAGGATAAACTCTAGTAGCTGGTGACTCATCCCTGACAGTATTACCAGAAGGGCAACACGACAACTCTGCGTAATATTTCATGGCAGATGGAGCGAGGGGAATGAGACTAGCTGTCTGTGTGTGCAGCTGGTGGGTATGGGAAGGACAATATTTTTCCTAATGCAACTGCCCAGTTGTGATCACCAAAGTGGGACAAAGCAAGGAGGAATATATCACAGTGTCAAGAAATGAATGTAGAAGTTACAAAATATCTGCTTAAATTGTTCATCCTCTCCACGTAGAAGGCTGTGTCTGGCACTGTTACCACAAATACTCCAGCTTATCTTCTCCATTGTGTAGTTAAACAAATTTTAGCTAAATTAAAATCATGCAATTAAGTAAAGAGTCAAACAACTGCAAGCACTTGAGTTAAAGCAGTTTAAGAAATTACCAACCACTTAGCTAGAATGTGAAATCTATGCATATATGCACCCACTAAATGGCAACGTTAAGTGGGCTGGCTTGAACCACCACTGCTGGTGATTTACACTAACTTGTTTTACTCCATGCTGTAAAAGACTGGGGTGCCCACACAGTCAGCTGGAAAGGTAGTATTGATTTCCAACTGAGCAGGCAACCGCTCCCTCAACTCCCTTGCCTTGATGGCACTGTGAGGGATGTCCTTATTTTAAAAACTCGCTAAAGGTTAATATTCTGAGCAAGAAATTGCTATCAAAAGAGTAAAGATGCTAGCACAATTATTTTTAATGCATCCTTATTTTTATAAAACATATTCAAATTGAGATTTAATTATGTCATCCATTAGTTACGTTGTCCAAGAGCCCTGACAATTGGGTTTTGTTTGGTTTAGTTGCCATGGTTTAAACAAACAACTCACTGCCCCAGCTATCTGCTCCATTTCATTGCCAGGGGTTCTTGTCCCCAAAGCATGAAGGGGAGAGTAAGATCCCTGTTTACATCTCATTTGCTCTGGTTCACAACTTGTCCTGATAGCTTGAACAGCTGATGAAGGTGGGCCTGCATGAACACTGGGCTGAGACACGTTTCCAGTTCTGTGGGGTCGGGACAGCAGAGATGCAGGACAGCAAAGTGGAGGTGGCCATGGACCAGGCAGGGCAGCAGACTCCACTGCACCCAGTATCTCAGAGCCTTAACCATGAGCTCACTGACTTTTGTCATTAAAAGGGGGAGATAAGGAGGTAGAAAGCTGAAAAGATAAAACTTTCAGTGAAGAAGTCCACAACAAAGGAGAGTCTGTTCTTTCATAAACACAAAATCCGGTGAATTCCCAGAGAAGAAACCCTTTTTCCTATAGGAAGTGAACAGTTTAATTTGAATAGGAGAACATTCTCTGGAAGACAAACCAACTGTTTCTCTTTGTAACTCTCTAATACAGCAGAGATTGACCTTTGCATCCTCATTTTGATGCTTATCTTGAGCAAACAGCCTAGAAGTCAATGTCTACAGAGAAAAAAATAGGGAAGTGACTTTTCTCTAAAAGCGCAGAGCAAGTCCTAGGGAAAATTTTAATAAATATGAGTCCAGCTGCTGTGGCTGATTGTTAACCAGCTTTGTGATGCAGTGTTTATTTGGCCATGAAATGCTTGCTGAGACAAGTTAAACTTCAATCTTGAATTATATGATTAAGTCTTTCACGGAGAAAATGATCCCTTGTAGCTTTTGCTATCTCCAAATATGTTACATTTCAGCATCAGCAGAAGAACAAACATTTTCTTATTTTATACATGAGTCGGTTTTTTGCTTTTATCTCGTGGGTGAATTTAATGTTCAAGGAATGGATACCGCTGGCTAAAGCCAATTCTAATGAACGCAAGGGTTCTGTCAAACTGCACCCACGCAGATCGGGCAGTGAACCCTACACCTAGCTTACACCACTGCCGCTTCTGCAGTCTTGGCTTCAGCTGAATAGAAAATCATATTGAACCGCATACAAAACAGCTACCAACAACCCAGCTTTCAGCTATGATCTAATGGGGATGTGAACTGGATATTTTTTCCTCTCATTTTCTTTTTGACTATGGGAAAAAATTATAAAGTACTATTAGCACATGGTAATATTCATAATAAATACACACGGGTTCCAAATAAAGCATTTCGAACAATAAAGCAGTTTGTTTTCTCTTAGAGGTTTCAAGTTAAAACTCCTCCAATGCTTTTGCTGATGCGCAGCTAATTACGTCATTGTTTTGCATTTTCTATTGCACAACTACCATGAACAAGGTGTGCCTTAAAATTAGATGTTGCAGCCCATACACTTAACCTGATTAGGTCAATAATTTAAATATTAACACAGTTACGGAAATGAAAGCAGGCAGATTCTTGTTAAAAAAAAGAAGTCACTATATACTCTTACATTGTGTTCTTTTAAAAAAAGGTGACTTAAATCAGTTTTCAGATGCAGAATGAGCATCTGGATGTCTGCCACAAGATACTACCTTTTGCTATATCCACTGTGGCTGTCAATCTTATAACTCTGCCCTCCAGGACAAAGTAACTGAGTCACAGTGCAAACTTAATCACGTCACAACACAAAGCTGATGCGATGATCTCATTACTGTTCCAGGAAAAGGAATAAACTCAATTCCAATTTACACCAGCAAATCTAGCTTTCAGCAAAGACCTACAAAGGGCCCTGACCACATAACAGGGAGAACAAGTAACACGAGCGGCACCCTATTAAGGAAACTATTAACATAAGCGAGATAGTGACATTAAGACTTTTAAAGAAAGTCTCAGTGCTTTGTCAGAGGATTTTTGAATTTTAAAGGAGTTTTGAAGTTTAACCAAATCTATGATTCTTTTTGGTAAGGTTAAGGTACCTGAAAGTTACCTTTATGTCAGGTTAAAAATAATTTTGTACATTAAAGAAGAGATTTATTGCACTATTTCAAGCACTCAACCCAATCTAAATTGGCTAGGAGGTTCGTTCTGAAGCTCTTAACTCTTTTTAAATACTATATTTGGATTATTTTCTAACATAGTATCAGACATGCAGAAACAAAATCTAAAATGACTAAATCTGACTTAAAAAGAATACCTGTCTGATCAAAGCCTCTAGCTCACCTGTGCATTTTTTGGTTGGGATTTTTTTTTGTGTGTGTAGATCTTACTAGCAGGAAAAGTCTTATCTTCTAAGAGTTGCACTTAAAACTGATTGCTTATAAAGATTTGAAGAATGATTGGGATTATCATTCTAAAACAGCACCCAGGGGAACTGGGTGGATCAAGGGATTGCTAATGAAATATCAAGTCTTTCATATCTAAACTGCTGATTTAAAGTCAATCCAAGACAAAGATCCCCCAATTGGTGGACATCTGATGATCTGTAAGAAATGAGGTGATGTTCTCACTCTATTCCAAGAAGATACATGTTTTAAGAGCACTGAACTGCCAGCAAAATTGGCACTCTTTGAAGTGAAACCAAGGAATGGATTGACAATTAAACAATGTAAAATAACTTTTATCCCTCAATACAGTAATATTAAATGAGGCTTTGGCTTTCTGGATCAAGTTTAGATCACAATTACTTTCCCCAACCTGCTCAAAATAAGAGTTTGAGCCTCTAAGACTACTGCAGTAAATTCAAATTAAACATTTTAGTAAGGTAAAAATTACTATTTAAGTTTCAGAGTAGCTATATTGGGTTTTAATGACTTACAATTTACAGAAAGGTCAGTGATAGATGTTAATGAGTGACTCAGACGACTTTCTATTATGCTTTTCTGCAGGAGCAGTCATTATCACATGTCAGTTGCTCAGAACAGCACTCTCTAGTCCTCCCTCTTATTTAATAAAAGCAAATTAATAATTTCCAATCATTTATTTACTCAGTGAATTTAGACCCTAGTTTCACTTAGAAATTACAGTAAACGTATCATTTTAACTTACTAGTCATAGCTGTTCTACAGATGTTTTGTTTATTTGAACATACTTTAGTCTATGAACTATTTGCAACTCTTATTACTGTGATTCTTGATTTGCTAATGGGATTTGTGACAGATCAACTGTATGACATATTACTGTTTCTCTTTGCTGAGAGTCCACCTCCTAGGTCTAAAGCTCTTTGCTCTTGGTACATGACATGGCTATCTATCTCCAATGGCTACCGTGCAAACCAAGCCCATACCCAGTACAGGGAGATGGACTGACCTTACCTGCACATGAATCAGTGGGTTGGGCACACAGCAATTCCCACAGCAGGAGCAGAGCCTGTTCCCCTTACTCAGCCTTCTTCCCAAAAAGTAGTCCTTCCACCCCATAACCCCAAGTCCTTTCTCCCTGCAGGAACCTCCCTTGCAGCCCCATGGCAATTACCACCTGGCCTGCAGGAGGGGAACTCACCAGAGCTACCAGAGCAAGTCCCAGTCATGTACCGGTGGCACTGCATGGAATGGGGAAGGCTAGAGGAATTCTTTGTGGTGTTTTTCAAAGGATCCCTCTACCAAGTTCATTGCTTTACCAGGGAGAGCTTCCCCCTGTGCTGGGTCCCAGGGCAAATCCAGAGATTGCCTTTGGTCCAGGAAGAAGGAATATGGTCCCTTTAAATAATGGAGGGTGTTGACCATCCACAGATGTCTCCCCTCATTCCACGGCACCATCAAAAAACCTCATGTAGCTTCTAAGATGCCCCCTTACCACAGGCATGCACAGCTAGCCAATGCCACCAAACACAAGACAGGTTCCTTAGCAGGGGGTGAAGAGGGATACCACAATGTGTGGAAGAGGGCACTCTGAGAGAAGATACTCCATTTCTCCTGCTGATTCTTTCCTCTCTTCCTCTTGTGCACTGCCTCCTGGATCCTGCTCACCCCAAGCCCAGTTTTTGTAGCCATCCCTCCACACCCATGAGCAGGTGCTGGAAATTTGTCCTAGGCAACAAAACCAGCAAATGTAATTCACGGCAGGGCTCCTTCACATCATTGGAGGAGGTCATTGATGCATCCACAGCCCCATCCCCCAAGACAGCCTGTGTGTAGAGACAGTCATATAAAGGAGTAACACCACCATCATCAGTTCTCTCACAGAGTCCTTGGGGAAGCCTTGGATATGTCCTCTGGGACATGGTTGGTGAGAAGGAAGAGACTGTCTTAGTAGATGCCAGGCAAAAATCCATTCTAAAGGTACAAGTATTTGGCTACCACCTTTCCAGAAAATCAAGATCTTGGGTCTGATTTGTCACCCGAGGCAGGAATGATCCTTTGTCTTCCCATTAGGTCTTCATCTAGCTGCTGAGACACCACCAGCACTCAGTCTTATTTTCCCTGCCTAAACTACCTCCTACAGCTCCAGCTGCTCCCAGGCTCCATGCTGACCATTGGTGGCCAATCCCACAAGGCTTGGCAAGTGCCAGAATGAACAGAATCCAGAGAGAAAAGGTGAACGTAGAGAGCCCTTTCTTCTTGCATCTCCTGTGGATCTGTAAGAGGGGTGTCATCCTCTGCCAGGAGGCTGCTAACATGCTTCTTGGTACCCTTCTACTTTTCTAGGGAGTAGATGTATGCACATGCTCTAATTCTTCTCCCGAAGGAGTTGGATGTGTGATCAGAGAAATGTGCCTCAGGCCCAGTGGTCTTTCTGGACCCAGACTTTGCCTCTTTCTTGTATCTTTCAATACACTAGGGTGGGTAGAGGCAGGTGCCTTTAGGCTCTGAAGTATCTTGTACCAGATGCCAACTTGCCGCAGCCCTCCACCAACTAGCCATTTTCATGTTGCTGCAGCACAAGGACTGGAACACACCTTCTTTACATCCCAGCACCTTTACAATGAGGAAAAGACATAATTTCCTCCCTATCAAGCAAGCCTAAACTTTCAAAAAGCCTCTACAAAGCCTATGTCCTCTGAGAGGCTATTGTAAGAATGACCATAGGCTGACCTTGGCCAAGATTAAGAGCTCGTGACGATTACAGACACCAAGTAGCAGTCCATGAAAGGGGTTGACCAGCCAGATCAGGGTTCCTTACTCATTTCTGGCCTTATGGACATTTTTCTTGGACCAACATTCTGCAAGCCCCAAGGCCTGTATAGTTCAGATGATTTTTCCCTCTATACATTATTTAGTATTTATCATTACTGCTTATTATCTGCAATTCTGTCATCCATTCAATCAATATTTTGAGTTGTCTGCAACTCCTCGCAATCAGCCTTAGTTTTGAATAATTTTGTGTTATCAAAAATCTTTGTCATAGCGCTCTTCATCACTTTTTCCAGACAATTTATGAAGGCATTACAGAGCAAAGATCCTGGTAGGCTTATGACAGTAATCTTTATTTATGGTGCAAAACCAGCCATTTATTGTTTCCTATCATTTAAGCCATTATTAATCTGTGAGAACCTTCCTCTTTCTCATGGTAGCTTAGTTGCTTTAGGAAGTTCTATTGAGAAACCTTAAGAAAAGCCTTTCCAAATCCAAGTCCACTATATCAATTCTTCACACACACAGAGGAGCTGGAGAAACATTACTTCCCTCTACAGACATCATAGTGACTCTTACGTAATGTGCTATATTTATCTTTCTGTTTATCCATCTTTTCCTTATTATCATATCTAACAGTTCAGCCTTACAGAAGTCAGAGTTAATTGTTTGCAGTTCTCTGAATGATCCCTGGAGCCCTTTAAAAAATTTTAGTATAGACACTGATTTACCTGATAGGCTGCATACCATAATTACAGGCTCAGCAATTTCCTGGACAATTACTATTGGGACCAGCTGACCTGTTACTATTCACTTCATCAAATTGTTCCAAAATCTCTTTTTGTAAACAACTTTATTTTATTTTTTTTTTAGACAATTCTATATACGTAAAACCCAGGTTGAGATGACCAAACTATGTAACTTTCAGTAGCAAAAATTGTAAGTCTGAAAAGTGACCTTTGGGGTATAAGACTTCCCCTGTTCTTGTC